GATAAAGAAGACCCTCTCAGCAGACAAAACAAGGCCTAGGATATAGGGTGGCTAGCTGGTTCAGCAACTCTGTTCCAGGAAAAGGCTAGCCATAAAAAGTTAGATTAGCATCTTACAATCTTAAGGAATAGGGAGTTTCCCCTTGTGATTTCCCTCGGGACCCTTCCCTGGTATTCTTGGTATTTTGGGTTGGGCTTTCTTCCCTCACTGGTATTCTTGGTTGTGGTTTCTTTCTTTAAAACCCCCTATTCCCAGCCATTCGGGGTCGAAACTCCTCTACCCCTACATGGGATATGAGTCTCGGCCCCAGTGCGCTGGCTCCTGTCAATAAAACTTGTGCGATTGCAGCAAGGACAGTCTCTCGTGAGTTCTTGGGGGGATTGCGTCATCCCGAGACTTGAGTGAGGATCTTCCCTTTGGGGGGGGGCTTACATTGGCTAGCTTTTTATGAACTTGTATATTGAGTGAGTTGGAAGTAATGGGTTTGCAAACTGTCTGAGGTATACATTAGGTACCTGTTAAGCACACTGGAAAGAAGGACCAACTGCAGACACCTGAGATGTTAGCAGCAGAGAGACACAATCTTTTGGCTCCAGAACTGGAAAGCCTTCTGTATTCAAGGCATCCGTTTTGTCTCCATGACACACTAAGCCTCACCTTCTGTCCCAGAGTTCTGGGTTCCCAACTCTGAAGCCACATGCAAGCATCAGAGACACCACGTGTCCTCGGGTGAGCTCCACTTCTCACTTGTCACCTAGACGTACTGACAAGGTTCAGACACAGGCACAAGTGGCAAACTTGCTGTGGACCAAATGTGACAAGTGGGAAGATCTGTTTGCTTTTCTTTGTCCTGGTTGATCAACTCTCTGTTCTCTATGAGAGTTACCATCCATGTGTTTCTGTTTATATTTCCCTAGGGCTTCAAGTTTTGTGGGGCATCTTTCCTTATTTGGCACACCATAGCTAGTTTCTCGGAAATTTCTTTCTGGCTTTAGTTCATATTTCTTCATGCTTTAATTTTTATTACATTTAGTCATTTGTGTGTGAGAGAGGACATGTGCATGGCATGGCACATGGATGGAGGACAGAGGACAACTTGAAGGAGTCAGTTTCCCCTTCCACCATGTGAGCCCAGGGGCTTGAACCCAGGCCATGAGGGTAGGTGGCAGACAGCTTTACCTGCTGAGCCATCTTTATGCTCCCCGCCACACACATGTTTTTTATGTGTCCATAATTTTCCTATTCTTCTAGCCTTCTTCCCCAATTCTGATTTTCCTATTTAAAAAGTGACTAATTAGCCGGGCAGTGGTGGCGCATGCCTTTATAATAGCAGCACTCGGGAGGCAGAGGTGAGTTTGAGACCAGCCTGGTCTACAAGAGCTAGTTCCAGGACAGCCTCCAAAGCCACAGAGAAACCCTGTCTCAAAAAACCAAAAAAAAAAAAAAAACCCGAAAAAAAAAAAAAAAAAAAAAAAAAAAAAAAAAAAAAGTGACCAATTGGTCCTCCCTCCCCCCTTACTCAATCGCTCTTTGTTTTTTTTTTTCTCTAGCCTCTTTCATTCTCTCCTCTTTCTCTACCTGAAGTTCCTTCCTTCAGACTTGATCTGGACCTTCCAGCAGCTTCCTCCAAGTTCCTCATTGAACTGTGGGAATGGAGTTGCCCTGAGGGCCTTTGCTTGACTTTTTATCCTTTGTTCATTAAATCAGAGTCCTACCATCTCTGTATCAGGAGAAACCAAATGGACTGTGGCTGAGGGTCAAGGATAGGCTTGTCCCTTCTTTCAAACAGCACAGTCATCAGAATCTAGCAGTCATTCGGTGATACTTTATGAGACTGCCTCGTACATTTATTCTGAATGAGTTTATATAGGCATTGGGTTGGGTTCTAAAGAGTCATTCACCGCACATTTACAGTTTATAAACTGCAAGCACTTCCTGATATAGCAAGACCCTGTTGCTAGTTTTATTTGACATGAAATGGGCAGAGAAGTGTTCTCTAGAATGGGGCAGTGAAAAAGAAGTCTGAGCTTATGGTTCAGTTTAGCATAGTGAGCCATCTAAGTATCAAAGATTTAAGCTTTATCTACCCCCTGAAAAAAAAGATAAAAGATTACCAGAGGTCAAGAGTGTGACTCATCTCTTATCTCCATAGCAACCTGTTTGACTGTCCACTTCGGGCTAGCCCTCAGAGAGAGTGTCCCGGTGACTCAACATCTTAAGGCTTGAAGTGTTTTCTTAAGGGACAAAAGACAGCCCTGTGGCCCATCCTGTTCAATCCTCACATGCTAATCATCTCCAGATGACTCATTCAAACACTTGGTTGCCAAGATACCTGTACAGAGGAGAGTTCACGGTGTCAGAATTCATCTGTAGCCACACAGTGACTTCCATGTGTAAGCTTGGAGGGGGCAGCAATGCTTTGACAGTGGCAGGCCCTATAGACCTTGTAGATCTAGCCTAGAGAACAGTAGGCTTCCTCAGTGCCGCCAATGAGTGTGTGCACATTTCCCAGGCCATTTATTAATACACTAATATTATTTTAGAGACTTTAGAGATTTAGGAATTCTGGGGTCAGGTGACATCTGGACTGCTTCATGGTTTACGTAAGGCAGTATCTACAATGATTGTTTGGGATTTTTGTTTTTGAGACAGGGTCTTACTATGTGTCCCTGCTGGCCTCAATTCCTATACAGACTAGGCTGGCCATAGACTGAAAGGGATCTGCCTGTCTCTGCATCCCAAGTGCTGGGATTAAAGGTGGGAGCTACCACACCTACCTACATTTCTTTTCTTTATTCTTTGTGTGTGTGTGTGTGTGTGTGTGTGTGTGTGTGTGTGTGTTTGAGACAGGGTTTCTCTGTGGCTTTGAAGCCCGGCCTGGAACTCCTCTGTAGACCAGGCTGGTCTTGAACTCACAGAGATCTGCCTGCCTCTGCCTCCCCAGTGCTGGGATTAAAGGTGTGCGCCAAAGCCCAGCAGTGATTTCTATTTTTAATGCTTACATTCATTTATTTCTAAAATATTATTTACCTATTTTAATATTTTAAAATACATTTCTTTTTGCATGTATGCATGTGAGCATGTGGGGGGGGTGGTTGGAGGACAACATTCAAGAGTTGGTTCTCTCCTTTCCTCGTGAGTTACAGGGATCAAACTTAGACTGTTGGGCTTTGTAGCAAGCTCCCTTACCTGATCACCTACAGTGATTCTCTTCACCAGGGGTTTGTTGTTGTTTTACAGTCAATATAAAAGTTAGTACTTCTGGATTCTGCTCTTCCAGTGGAAGGACCTTGGAGAATCAAATTGCTTGCCCAGTGTCTGAGCGCATTTCGTCTTCTATACAAAAAGAATCAGTGACCAGGTGGCTTGTAAACAGCAGGTGCTTACCTTTTATCATTCTGGAGGCTGGGTCCCAGCACCAAGGCAGCCTCTGTGTTTGCTTTAGAGGGTGACTTTCCACTGTGTTCTCACAAGATGAACAATGGTTCATTCCTCTTGGACCTCACTGGACAGTGGAGGAGCAGAGCTGCCCCTCCAGACGGTTGCAGCACAGGACCAGAGCTTCCTGTCTGACTCAGGTTCTTCAGGGGCCACCTCCCTTAGAGCTGTCTGACAGCTAGCTGACTTTGGGGTTTTAGTTAGAGCAGGAAGACATGTAGTGCCAGAGGGACAATTTCTCAAACTCTTGGACTCTAACATACTTTCACCTTTATCATGATTATGTTTAATTCTTTATACCTACATTTTCTCATGTCTAGAATGGCATTTGTAAGCAAGGGCACAGAAAAACTACCAAACTGGACTGACTGCTCCATGGGTAGAAAGGAAGGTTTATTGGGGCTCAAACTGCCAAGGTAACACTCCATCCCAGGTGGGGGGAGAAATGCTAATGGATTTTATATGACAGTCAGCAGAACTGGGGAGGGGGGCTTTGAACTGATACATCCTGTTGGAATTGACCAGGAACTAGATGCCTTTGTCCTAGGTAGTTGACATTTAGGGGCAGATTAAGAGAGATTCCTGGTCAACAGAAACTACCTTTAAGTTTCTGGTTACCCAGCCAGAGTCCTTCTGTTTAGTAAATTGTAGAAAAAGGTGTAAGAGATAACTTCAGAACTGTCATCGTGTGTGTGTGTGTGTGTGTGTGTGTGTGTGTGTGTGTGTGTGTGTGTGTGTTTGTGTGTGGTGCTTTAGAACTAACAGGATTAAAACAATACCAACTCCATAAATGCATGTAAAGTCTTAGACACAGTACAGGGTGCATACTCGTTTGGTGGATATTACCTGATGTTATCATCTGAAGCCGGAAAAGAAAAACCATCTTGAATATCCTTAACCACTAATCACTCAGCTTTTATCTAAATAAATGTCTCCAAACTAGTTATCAGCCTTCTTGCAAAGGTGGCTGTTCCTTGTAACAACTTCTCATACAGACAGAGCTTCGCCCTGTTCTTTTGACTTCACTATCCCTTGCCACGCAGTACTCTCCTCTAATCATTAAGCAAACATCTTTCTAGGAAGCAGTTTACTCACTCACTTATTCATTCATCCACTCTCATTCATTCATTCTTTAATCAATAAATTCCCACTGAGGAAAAACCTACTATTCTGAGTAGATCAAAACACCAAAACTTGGGGTATACAGACACAGCAAAATTCAGCAGGAATGAATGCAAACGGGGTTGCCTTTTACAGCTCGGTCACGTCAGGGATACCTGCTCCTACCTCTCCTCACCCGCATAAGTCACTTCCCACTTTTTGGGAAGGCTTTGGGTGAAGGAAATGGAGGCAGGATGAGACCGTGAGAGGCAACTTCAGACTCGGGAACCGGTGAGTCTGAGAGTGTCTGGGTGCGAGGATCAGGGCCCACTTTCCGGGCACAGGTGAGGGACACAGGTTGGCGGGAGTGTCCCTGTTGCAGCTTGGGGAAGCTCTGGGGTCCGCGGGGCGCGGTCCAGGCAGGCGCCTGCTGGCCTGGAGATGCTGCCCCGCCCCGGGAGGGCGGGCCGGGCTGGGGAGAAGTGTACAAAAAGCGCCCAGCCGCCGCCCAGCAGCTAGCGGAGCAGCGGGCGGAGCACTGACCAAGGTGAGCTGCGCGGAGCAGAGCGAGGGGGACCGGTGCTGCTCTGTGCACCAAGAAAGGGCTTGACTGGGGTCAGGAGACCTTTAGGGTCCCTGGCACGGGTCCACGGCCGTGACTCACCCGCGGGTAACACTCCGAGAAAGTTAGTCGAGACCTATTTACTGAGCATCGTTGGGGCAGCGGGATGCCTGCGGGCCCTGGGCAGGCATCGGAAGCTCTTGGCTCAAGTGAACCCAAGAGCCACCTTGCAGTTGGCTCCAAGCGGTTGCCCCTAGCTTAAAACACAGGAATCAGGTCCCCCTCCCGGTACGCTGGGGGGCTGCTTGGGCACCCTCTTGACAGCTTCTGGGATCCCTGCCTTAGCCAGCAGGCTCCTTTGGTACACCTGCTGAGATTTTCACTAGAGATCTTTGCTGTGTGTTGCCAGTGAGCTCTACCAGCCTTTCACTAGAGATCTTGCCCTGTGGTGCCAGTGAGCTCCACCAGGTCCAGCAGCGACAGGGGTTACAGCCACTCCCTGCGTGCTGACCGCACAGAAGTGTTGCCCAGGCTCTAGTGCGCATGTTCCCAGATGAGGAACGACGGTAATCTCTAAACTTTTGCAAGCCAAGTGACTCATCAGTGCCCAAATGTGATTTGTGCAATAACCTCTAGATCTGGGCTGGGGAAGTCTTGGGTGTGGTGATGTTTTTCCCAGAGTGTAGAGCCTTAGTTGGAGGCTTTTAAAAGTTGGATTTGTTCTGCTGTCTGTTGCTCAAACACGAATGCAGGGAACCAAGATGCATGGATTGAATATTTGGGGAGTTGGGTTTCTAGATAATGAGGACCTCAGGACCTAGTGACCCAGCTTATTTTGAAGAAAACAATTGCAATCACAGTGTTTATATGACTAATTTCTGAAATTCCAAGTTGTTTGCTTCAAGTTTATGTATTTCCATATTTTTATTTATTTGTTTTTTGGGGGAGGGCCAGGCGGGGTCTCACTGCAGCCTAGGCAGGTCTGGAACTCACTATGTAGCCCAGGCTGGCTTTCACTTTTCAATCCTGTCTCAGTATCCCCCAGTGCTAAGATTACAGGTGTGAGCTGCCTCCCCCAACTATTTCCATAAAAATTGAAGTTTCATAACAAAAGCTTGCTTTTCTACCACAATAGTCTTTGGGAGGGGTGATTATGGAATTTGAGATTGGAAGTGTTTTGTTGTTTTTGATTGAGACAAGGTCTTCCTATGTGGTCTAGGGTGGTTTTGAACTTGTGATTTTCCAGGCTAGAACAAACACACTTAGCAATTGTCTCCTTCTTGGTCACTGGTATTTTTTGCTTTGCTTTGCTTTTGTTTCTTGAGATAGGGTCTTACAATATAGCCTTGGCCGGCCTCATACTTATTACATATCCCAGGCTGACCTTGAACTCATGGCACTCCTTCTACCATAGTCTCCTGGGTGCTAGGATTACAGTGTATTGACTATCATGCTAGACTGTGCACATTGATTCTGAATACTTTTCAAATAGGTCCCTTTTCCCTATGGTAGTCATATTTATCCTTGATGGGGGTTAGCTTCCTAAATTCACAATGTTTAAGAGTTTAAAATCTGTACTTATTTCCCATTCTGGGGAAGACTTTCATGGGGGTCTTTCAGGTTTAAGCTTAGAAGTGTTTAAGGGATAGCTCACTAAATTGTAAACAAGGCAGAAGGAATGGAGAACTGCTTGATGCATTGACCAAAAGAATTGATCACGTTTATGTAAAATGACTAACTCTCTTCAGGGCTTCTTAATCAATGATATATTTCACTGGATCAAAAATAAGTACAGTGGCTTTATTGGTTTATTTGTTATTTTTCAAGTTGGGGGTCTCATGCGTAGCACTGGCTGGAACTCGGTACATAGAAACAGATGCTTTCCAAAGAACTGTTCCTTAGGTGGGTGTGGGAGTCAGTGCCTGTAATTCTAACACCCAGGAGGCAGAGCCTCCTGAGAATCTCAAGTTTAAGACCAGCACAGGCTACATGGAGAATTCTAAGCCAACCTGGGCCACAGAGTGAGACCGGTCTCAAAGTAAATATATTAAAAATATAAGCTTTTTACTTCCTGCCAGTAAGCTCAAGTGGCCTAGAATTGGTCTTATTTATGATTTAGGTGCTGTGTGCCTAGCACCCTTGGTAGCCAGAGTCTAAATCTCCATTGCAACAGACACAGCTTGGTGTTAACAAGGGGTCATGCATTCTTCCTTGACTGATACTCGGCTTTTCCAAAGGGGAAAAGTCAGTGACTGAGACAGAAGCACAGAGTAATTTTATCTTCCTTGATGTGAGGAACTGGGAAGAGAGAGAAACCCTAGGAGATGGCCAGTGTCCTTTCACTGATTGCTGCTTTGGAATGTGGACTTCCTCAAGCCCTGCTCTGTGTTTCCATGAAGGCAGGGAATGGAGAGGCAGGAAATGGAGAGGCATTGCCTGGGCTCCTGGGAAGGGAGCGTGGGAGGGCCCAGGATCACCACTTAGTGTTTTACAGTTTTGTTCTTTATGAACACAAATTCCAGAAGAGTTCTTGAGAACCCAGACCACTGGGTGGTTGGCACGTAGGCCCAGCAGAACATGGTGCAGTGGGCCACTCCTATTAAAGGAAAAGCTCTCAATTAACAGCTGGTTACATTGACTCATATTTAAGCTCATCATTCAGAATGACTTTGAACTGTTTCTGCCTGCTGCTTTCAAACGAAATATTTCCAAATACAGAGACTAAGACCCATAACTCTGCTTTAAAAAAAAATACCTTTGATGAATTTTTCTTTCTTTTTTTTTTTTTCTCTGTGGCTCTTCAAAAATTTCCTGGTTCTAGAAGTGATAGAATGGAGTTTATACATTTACATTATCTGTAGGGTGGAAAGAATGTCCTACATTTGAGAGTTTGAAAAGAGCAAGTTATAATCCTTTTCAAAAAAGAGATCTGAATCAGGTGGTGGTGGCATACACATTTAATCCCAGCACTCAGGAGGCAGAGGCAGGCAGATCCCTGAGTTTGAGGCCAGCCTGGTCTACAGAGTGAGTTCTAGGACAGCCAGAGTTACACAGAGAAACCCTGTCTTGAAAATCTAAACCAACCAAACAAACAGATCTGGACCCAGTAAGATAGTTCATGGGTATGACACTTGTCTCCAAGACTGAGTTTAATCACTGGGGCCCACATGGTAGAAGGAGAGAACCAACTCCTAAAATCTGTCCCTTGACCCCTTTATACACACACTCCTACAGACACAAAATAAATAACTATATGTGAAAAAACTACATCTGGGAGCTGGAGAGATGTCTCAATGCAGCATAATCAGAAAATCTGAGTTCAGATCTCCATCACACTCACAAGGCTGGGAATGGCCACAGGATGTCATCCTGAATTATGGGTGTGGAGACAGGTGGATTCTGGCCAGTAGATGCATCTCCGATTCAAATAGAAATGGTCTCAGAAAATAAGGTGAAGAGTGACTGTGGAAGACATCTGGCACTGACCCCTGGCTTCCCCCACACAGGCATGCACACCTTCACACACAGGTGCATAAGCATACAACACACACACACACACACACACACACACACACACACCTCAGCAAAAAAAAAAAAAAAATCTATGGTTGAGAGGTGACACAAACAAAACAGTAATTCTGGTTTTGGAGAAATAAAACTTATTGGTTAAAATGTGGTTCTTAGCCATGTGACTGTACACGATGGTATTGTGTGTTCAGTATCCTGTGTGGTGAATGAATCACTAAGTTAGTGTTCTGGACCGAGCTTGACCTTATTTTTAAATGTGTTTACTATTTCAGCATGCTAGGTGGTTCTGAGTGAACAAGCCAGAGAACTTGTCATAAAGTATCTAACAATTTCAAAGGAGTCTATTTTTTTTTAATTTTATTAGTTCAAATTAGGAACAAGCTTGCTTCACACGTCAATCCCTTCTCCCTCTCCCTCCCTGCCTCCCCAACATCCCACCTGCCCCTAGCCATCCCCCCCTCCACTCCCCAGGCAGGGTAAGGCCCTCAAAAGGGGCTCCCCAAAGTCTACCACATCACCAAAGGAGTCTATTTTAAAACATCAAAAAGTAGGGTCTAAAATAATATAGAACAAACTTGAATTAGGCTGAGCATTAGTGGCGCACACCTTTAATCCCAGCACTCGGGAGGCAGAGGCAGGCGGATCTCTGTGGGTTCGAGGCCAGCCTGGTGGTGGGAGTGCCAGGATAGGCTCCAAAGCTACACAGAAGCACCCTGTCTGGAAAATCCAAAAAAAAAAAAAACAAAAAAAAAAAAAAAAAAAAAAAAACAACAAAAAAACAACAACAACAACAACAACAACAACTTGAATTAGTCAGGAAACTTGGGCCCTGGTCCCCAAACTGCCATTGAGATGGATGGCTCTGGGCCACTGACTTAGCACTCTAACTTCTCACTCTACAGTGGGAATAATTTCTCCAGTGGGTCTCCTCAGACTGCTAGCAGAATGAGAGCAGATCTGTGAAAGTTCTCTGGGCACTGAAAATCCCCCCACAAATGAAGGAAGGCGGTTGTCATTATCCTGGCATCCCGTGGAATGTGTCACAGTGCATCCAAACTGTCATCCACGGCCCCACGTGGATCACAATGAAATCTGCTGTTTCTAAAACTTCATTTGATGAGATTGGAAACTGGACTAAACCAGTCCTAATCAGAGGCTTTGTGAAGAACAAAGCTCAATGCGGAAGTAACACTTACAGTTTCTAGTTGTGTCATTCTGTTTTTGTTTTTGTTTTTGTTTTTCGAGACAGGGTTTCTCTGTGGCTTTGGAGGCTGTCCTGGAACTAGCTCTTGTAGACCAGGCTGGTCTCGAACTCACAGAGATCTGCCTGCCTCTGCCTCCCAAGTGCCGGGACGAAAGGTGTGTGCCACCAACGCCCGGCTAGTTGTGTCATTCTTAAACATAATTTAATTGGTATTCTGTTAACAAGGGCAATTTTTGAAGAAACTGGTAAAGTTATTTTTGTTTTTTGTTTTTTTTCTCACACATAATTTTCACGTGAAACATTTAACATCGGAGATTCAGTCTTCAGACCAAAGAGTTACAGTAAGTCTTCAGCCTCTTAAAAACAGTAACGCACTAAAGGGAAGGGGAACAAAAAAGGTTTTCTTTAGGGGGAAGTGTTTCCTTTTTGGGGTTTGGAGACAACCTTGCTATGTGGCTTAGGTTGGTTAACCTTAAACTCAATCTTCCTGCCTCAGCTTTCTGAGTGCTGGGATGACTGGTGTGTTGCACCACACCCAGCAATAGACTGCCCTGTTTTTGAAACAGGGGCTGCTTGGACCTGCAGCTTGGAAGGGCTTTACACTTTTGACCCTCTTGTCTCAGCTTCCCTGAGGCAAGGGTGGCTACCACCCTTCCTTGTAAACTTGGCTAGTTTTAAAACCTGAAACTCTTGTTAGTTTTTATTGCCTTGCTTCTGCACCTTTACGTAGGGTAGACGGTAACAGCCTAGATTGGTTGGTTTTCAACCATACCTGGTTTTGGCCCTAGGGGATATCTGGCAATGTTTGAAAGCATTTTGGGCTGTCATAAGTTATAGATTAGTAGCGTGCTACTGGCCTCTAAGGGCTTGAAGCCAGACACTGCCGAAGGGGCGGGGAAAGAGTAATCAAAAGTGCTAAGCTCCCTGCCCATTTTGAACTTGAAAACTGTCCTCTAACAGGCTCCAAAATGGACACAGGACTATGTAGCCTTGGCTGGCAGGGAATTGCTACATAGACCAGGCCTGGCCTCAAACTCACAAAAGATCTATCTGCCTCTGTCTTCTGAATGCTATGTGCCACCACGCCCAAGCCAGGTTTTATTTTCTTGTGAAAATTATGAAGCCAGGCACTGTGGCTCATGCCTTCTGAGAGGCTGAGGGAGGAGGATTGCCATAGTGTTCAAAGCCAGAATGAGCCACTGGAACGTGGTATGTAGTCCAAGCCGGCCTCAAACTCATGGTAGTCCTCATGCTAGAGAATGCTGGGATTACAGGCAGGAGCCACCACATTCACCTAATAATGTGAGTTCTTGGGATAATTGAGTAAAATACCACAGGTGGACAAATGAAGTCAGAAATTACTGATTATTTCCAGGTCCAGGTCATTCTGGTGGTCACAAAATGACTGCAGTGATTCAGAGCTCAGCTAGAACTGACCCTGGTCCAAAGCAGCTCTCTTGTGTTGCTTGGCACTAGATTGTTTGCCAAATATGCCAAGGCAAGAAATTTAATCCCCAGCACTGGAAGGAAGGAAGGAAGGAAGGAAGGAAGGAAGGAAGGAAGGGAAGGAAAGAAAGAAAGAAAGAAAGAAAGAAAGAAAGAAAGTAGTTCCCAAACCAAAGCTGCCCTCCTGTCTTCACTCTGAGGGAGCTGTTGCAACAGGGGTAGGTGGTGCTTTTATGGGCATGGCCCTGGGGCAGGAGCAGGAGCAGGAGCAGGAGCAGGAGGAAGCAGGGTATGTCTGCAAACCAACCCTGAGGCAGCTTTGTGCAAGACAAACCTGTCTGACAGCATCTGTGCCCCACATGCGTCTGTTCCCATGGCTTCCTGGCTGCCCTTTGTTGGGCTGCTACACTGCTGAACATTTTATTTGGGATAACAAGTACCTTTAAAATAAGTGAGGCACAGTGGCTCACAGCACAGCCGGCACTTGAAAGACTGAGGCAGGAGGACCCTAAGTTCAAGGTCAGGATGGGCTATATAGAAAGACAGACTTTCTAAAACATAAAAGAAAACACCTCCAAATCCAATGAACCAAAGGCTCCCAGATGTCACCTGTCCATCAAATCTTTGTTCCAACGCCATCTCCCTTCCCAACTCACAAGTAAACTCTCAGATTTGAATGTCCCAACAGAGTCCCGCAGCATTGATCACACCCTTGTATGAATGCATCTCATGTCCCCTGCTGGTCTGTGGGCCCTGGGACTGCATGGAAAGTGGGGGCTCAGAGCCGGCGTCAATGTGTGCCAATGCAGGATAAATAACCAGGCGGCAGCCATGTCAAGCTGTCTTGGAGATCTCAATAGGAGCTGACACACAGCTTCCCTCCAGTGTCCAGAAGGTCTGGGAAGAGAAGAGGGGTGACCTGTGCTGCTTGGGAATCCTTTGAAGGGTAAAGACAGCCAAGAGAAGCCACACCTTGTACCGTATTTCATCGAGAGAAGGGGCAGAAATTCTCACCCTGCTCCTTGCCTCTCAAGGCTTTACTCTCAGAATTCAGAACATGAGATCCCAGTACCAAGGTTTAACTCCACAACTTAAGTAGGTTTGGAATTTAGGATGAAAGTATCCTGCCCCTCCACAAGATGTTTTTCGGTCCTACACCATTGACTTGGGCAAAATCATTGTAGACTGGAATTGTCCGCCACTGTTTGGGATGCTAAATCTCATGAAGGTTTGTAAAGTCCTTTAGGCTCAAATAATAACAACTCCCTTTGGCTTTTTTTCTCTTAGGAAAATGGCAGACGGTTTTTCGGTAAGTATTCCATGTTGGCTTTCTTAGCCCCACATATCCATACAGTTAATGGCTTCATTTCTACCACTAAGCTTTCCCTTTGGCCCTCCTAACATGACATTCCATCTGGCTCAGTTGTCTGCTCCGGGCCTATTAGCTGGAGGTTTGCTTTTCCAGCAACAGATTCCAAGGAGAGACATGGCCTCTGTAGCAGAGCAGTGATGTCCCTGCTGGAAGCAGCCAACAGATGTAGCTGTTTCTCATGTTGATTAAAAAGTGTGGGCTTGTAAAAGATCAGTTCCTGGTGTGAATTAGAAGAATTTAGTCCTCCCTGACCTGTGATGATAAGAGACCAGAATAAAACAAAATAAACAGCAAAAGCACAATCTTAAAGTCTGAGTCCTTGGGACTCTAAACAGTAGCATAGGGGAGGGCAGAGTGTGACCCTTCTCTTATTTCTCAGCTTCCTAGCTCACAAATGCCTGTAGTACTGTGAATTTTATTTTGTGAATGAGTCCTATCCTCTAATTGTTTGTTTTTTATTTACAGCTTAATGATGCCTTAGCTGGTTCTGGAAACCCAAACCCTCAAGGATGGCCTGGTGCATACCAACCTGGGGCAGGGGGCTACCCAGGGGCTTCCTATCCTGGGGCCTACCCTGGGCAGGCTCCTCCAGGGGCTTATCCTGGGCAGGCTCCTCCTAGTGCCTACCCAGGCCCAACTGCCCCTGGAGCTTACCCTGGCTCAACTGCCCCTGGAGCTTACCCTGGCCCAACTGCACCCGGAGCTTACCCTGGATCTGCACCTGGAGCCTTCCCAGGGCAACCTGGAGCACCTGGGGCCTACCCCAGTGCTCCTGGGGCCTATCCTGCTGCTGGCCCCTATGGCGCCCCCACTGGAGCATTGGTAAGAAGGAAGAGTTGTTTCATGGGCTTTATAGACAGGGGAGACGATGTTAGGGGGTTATCTTTAAGGATGCTGCTTGAGCCCTGTCTTAAGGGCCAACCACAGGGCTGTATTAATGTGTTAAAAGGAAGGTTCATATTGAGTTTATGCTGTGACTTGTTAGTATAGGTTGTGGTAATGAGCTAGGCATAGTGGTACATGTCTTCAATCCCAGCACTCGGAGGCAGAGAGAGGCAGGTGGATCTCTGCAGGTTTGAGGCCAACCTGGCCTAAATAGAGAGACTCTGTCTCAAAACCTAATTATATTTTATTATGGTATTATTATATTATTTTTATACTATGAGAAGTTTATCATTAATAAACAATAGCCTGAGTGGGGTGGCTCATACCTATAACCCCACTGAGTGCTTTTCAAAGCTGCAAAGACTTGCCTCAAACTGGGAATGCAGGAAAGGGAACTGATGGGCAAGGGGCAGGGGAGACACCTCCAGCATATACCTGTGTCAGGAGCTTCCAGTCCACAGAGCAGCTCCAGGAAGCACATATAGGACTAGTGCAAACCAGGGCCAGAAACGAAAATTTGGGGGACAGCTGAACCTGGGAGGCAATGTCATAAAGGAGACTAGAGGCAGGGGCAGAGTTCTGGGGGTATCCATGCTACCTGAAACACTTAGCTCAAACTTGTGAAATGAACTAAAATGTTCATTCAACATATACTCAGATTTTCATATGCAAAGCACTCTGCTGGTGACCTGTGAGCACAGAAGCCCCAGGTGACACAAACCTTTTCTCAGGAAGCAGAATTACAGTGCTGTATGTCATGTGACAAGGGACTGTTGGTCAAGTCTACCTTAAAATGTTAGACAAAGGATGAATAATGGGTTGAAACAATTCCAGTGATGATCCCAGAACATCTTCTTCTTATTTGTTAATTTCCCAGTTAACATTTGTGCACACAGGAAACTTCATCACTTTAAGCTCTGAGCAAGGTGACCTCAGAATGTAGATGGGTGGCCTAGGGTTCTGTGTTAGTCACATGCATTGTAACAACGTTAGCAATGTAGTTTTCCTTTCCCCAAGCAAACCCAATACCTTACTGATACACACATGTTCTTGTCTGTTCCCAGACAGTGCCCTATAAGCTGCCCTTGGCTGGAGGAGTCATGCCTCGAATGCTGATTACAATCATGGGCACAGTGAAGCCCAATGCAAACAGGTACACGGGGTGATACCAACAACCCAACTCTTCTCTGTGTAGCTTTGGAGCCTGTCCTGGAACTCACTCTATAGACCAGGCTGGCCTTGAATTCACAGAGATCCACCGGCCTCTGCCTCCCGAGTGCTGGGATTAAAGGCGTGCGCCACCAATGCCTGGCTCGAAACCCTGTCTTGAAAGAAAAACAAAAACACCAACAAAAAAAGTGTATCTGTGAAGGATCAGGAATGATGGCACCAAAGTCAATGAATACCACCACCACTACCCCCCCAAAAAATAAACAAATGAAAAACAAAACAGCTGGTGGCACACACTTGGAATCCCAGCCCTTAGGAGGTCAAGGTAGGAGGCCAGCCTGGGCTACATAGTGAGTCCCTGTCTCAATGAGCAGACAACACGTATTGCCCTGCTAGAGTTTTGAGTTGATCACCATAATGTGGATGGGCCCGCTCTTCTTTTGAGTAGGAACTCATACTCTGGCTTATTTCCTTCCTGTACAGAAATCCCTACATATTATAAAAAGGCTTGCTTTTTAGAAACGGAGATGCTCTTGACTTGATACATACTTTAATATCTTTAATTTTCTGGTTTAAAACAGGATTATTCTAAATTTCATGAGAGGGAATGACATTGCCTTCCACTTTAACCCTCGCTTCAATGAAAACAACAGGAAAGTCATTGTGTGCAACACCAAACAGGATAACAACTGGGGAAGGGAAGAAAGACAGTCAGCTTTCCCATTTGAAAGTGGCAGACCATTCAAAGTAAGTTACTGCTTCGGTATGCAGGCCATGCTCTCTCATGGAGGGTTATACTCGAAAACCACACGCCTATCTGGGCACCTACCCAATCTTCCTCCCCAAGAGACCAAGCTTAGCAGGCTGGGGATGTGTCCAGGAGAGGCATGTTCTCAGTTCCTTCAGGAACTTCATGATTGTCATTGGACAACTCCAAACTTATACTCTTCTAAAGGGTTTAAGGATGAATGTCCACTCACTATGGGGAGTGTGTGTTTCCTGGCCTTTCCCAAACTGGCTATAAACTAACCAGTCCTATAAATTAATATGTCATTAAGAAGTTCCTCCCCATGTTGCTGTTTTTAACTTTTAGGTATTTTAGGATCCACTGAAACTAAACTTGTGTGTAGGCAAATTATGCTTTTATGGTTTCCATTATCTATCCTTCTGATAATTTTGATGCTTTTATTGTGATTTAAATCTGACAATCCAGATTTGTTTTGCTCAGCAGTTACTGTCTCTTGATCTTCATCATTCCGCAAATAAAATGTTGGATTTCCTGAACTCAGATTACACTGGTTTAAAAATCTCTAATATTTCTTCCTTCCCTATTTATATAGAAATTGACAAATGAAAACTATGGACAATATGTCCTGAAAATCATACACATGGTGGAATGCCTAAATTGCACAAGTCAACACATGCTTTGCCTGACGGTTTTCATATTTGGTTTCTAGATACAAGTCCTGGTTGAACCTGACCATTTCAAGGTTGCAGTCAACGATGTTCACTTGCTGCAGTACAACCATCGGATGAAGAACCTCAGGGAAATCAACCAGATGGAAATTTCTGGTGACATAACCCTCACCAGTGCTGCACCCACCATGATCTAATCCAGAAGGGCAGTGCTTGAAACTGAAGTTAAACGTTACTCATTTAAAGGCTGTGCTCATTCTGAGCGGAAAACTACATTTTTTTCCTTCTTATCCTTCTTGTAAGGCATCCATTTAATAAATATTCCTGTGCTGATGGATACCTGTTTTTTGTTTGTTTTCTGATATTAGATATCAAATCTTAGGACCTGTGAATGCTAGCCAAGTGTCCTCTCTGACTGAGTCACATATGCCCTGCCCTTTAAACTGTGTGTTTGTGTGTGCAGATGCCTGCTCACAGGTGAGAGGTCCTCTGCAAAAGTAGTTCACGCTCTTTGCTGCTGAGTCATCTCTCTAGCACCCCCCATACCCATTTTTTTCCAGAAAGGATGGTTGAGTTGCACATTCAGGCCCCGGACTTGCATCTCACTTAAACCACGGCATGCTCTAGCTGCTTGTCTTTATATGCACTTTGAGCTGGAACAATGTAAGTAGTGTAAAGAAAACTATATATTAGTAAGTCATCCTGATTTTTAAATTTTTATGTACATTGGTGTTTTGCCTTCATATATGTCTGTGTGAGGGTGCTGGATCCCCTGGAAGTGAAGTTACAGACAGTTGTGAGCCACCATGTGGTTGCTGGGAATTGAACTCAGGACCTCTGGAAGAGCAGTCAGTGCTCTTAACCTCTGAGCCATCTCTCCAGCCCAGGTTTTCATATTCTTTTTCTCCTACCAAAAGTGCCTATCTTTCCTATCATCAACAAGCTGAAAGATTAGGGAAATGTCAGAATTGTCTGTTCTACAATGCTATCTTCTCAAATAATTTAAACTGGCAATTGTCACAAGCTGATGTCCCAGGAAGAACAGAAATCAAAAGGTTTGTAAAGGTAAGCACCGGAGAAATGGCTCAGTGGTTAAGAGCACCAGCTGCTCTTCCAGAGGTTGAGTTCAATTCCTAGCACCCACATGGTGGCTCACCACCATCTGTAATGGAATCTGATTCCCTCTTCTGGTGTTCATGAAGGCAGGTCATTTAAAAAAAAAAAAAAAAAAAAAGGCAAGCACTTAAAATCAACATCTGAAGGAACAAGAACACGAAGAGAGCTGGGTCTCTCCTTCTACCATGAAGGTTCCATGCATCAACCTCAGGTAAGGGCTTGGCACCCTTACCCATCAAGCAATCTCAATTGCCCTGAGGCAAGATGGGCAGTATAGAGATGAGGTAATACCACATGGCAGAACATAGGTTAAGTTATAAGAGCTAGTTTGATCAGGCATGCTAATGGCCAAACTTCCATAATTAAAAAGTCTCTGTGTCATTATTTGGGAGCTGATGGCTGACAACAAAGTTTACACTACACATTAGTGGGCTGTTAAATTAATCTTCATCTTTTGGTAAAGGGGGCATTCTATGAACATTCTTTTATGCAAACACTTTATGTAACCTTCCACTAAATTGCTTGGGCTTCATAACAAACACCATCTTCCCAAATGCCAAACACATCTACTTCTGATATCAAAAGTAGATTGAGCTTTCTCTTGTAAATGTCTAGTCTTAAGAGACAATCCACAAGGTTCCTATTACTTAATGTCTTCTTGCAATCCTCGGCTCACACTCACACCAAAATAACAATGCAACCCTGGCTATTAGCATTTGTTAGTGCTGTCGTTTGGAACACTGTGTTTTGTATTTATTTTCTATTGTATGTATGTATGTATGTATGTATGTATGTATGTATGTATGTATGTATGCATGCATGCATGCATGCATGCATGCATGCATGTATGTATGTATGTATGTATGCATGCATGCATGCATGCATGCATGCAGAAGAGGTAGCATATGCCACAACATGAAGTGCCTTTATCTGCTGAGCTGTCTCCCTCCTGAGTTAGCACTGTGTTTATAATCACAAAGCTAAGAGTTTATAAAAGAATAGGGTTGGACTGATGACTTAGTTAAGAGTGCACACTGCTCTTTCCAGAGGACTCAGATTCCAGCATCAACATGAGGCAGCTCACGGCATTCTGTAAAAGTTTATTTAAGGTTCATGCCCCCTCCAACCTTGTCAATGGTAACTGGTTCTGTTAAAGAGACAAATACTAGAGGCAGCAAGGATTGATCTGTAACAATAGACTTCATGATCCAGAAAACATCATCTAAAGGAACAAAGGAAATCAAAGCTATTTGCTGTCAACAGACACAGGGGCTCAAATGAATAGGTATAAATGAGCATGCCACAGATGCAAATATTTGTTTCTCATTTAATATTTTACAAACCCTGCAGTTTTTACAGTATCTCAAAAGTGTCTTAATAAACACTATTAAAAATTATGTAATACAATATAAATAGACCAAACAGAAGTGAATACTAACATATATTTTCAAAATTTCCAACAATTAAATAATGTATCAGAGAATGACATGAAGAAAAAAATGTTTGGAATTACTTTTAAGTTAAAAACTCTCCTGGTGCTCTTTACTTCCGGGTCTCAGAGGTGAGAAGACGATGAGGTCACCACCAAAGGACATGTATCTGGCACGATTTTGCTGTCTGGTCTCCAACTGTGTGCAGGGATTGGTGCTGCTTAGGGCTGGCTAAAGAACAAATTCAGAGATGTCATTGAATCCACCATCAAGAGTTGTCCCAAATAAACTTTCTGTACTGCCAGTTAACTGAGTGCTGAAGAATAAGTTTCCCTATGTAACAATGAAATTATTAAAAACATAAGACCTAATGTAAAGCAATCTTAAAAAAAAAAATTTGTTTTATTTTTTGACACAAGGTTTCTCTGTGTAGCCCTGGCTGTCCTGGAACTTGCTCTGTAGACCAGGCTGTCCTTGAATTCTGAGACCTGCCTGCCCCGGCCGCCTGTGTGCTGGGATTAAAGGGGTGTGCCACAAATCCTAAACCACGAAACAGCACTTATGGGTCTTCTACCATGTGTGATCCTACTGGGATCTTTTTAATTGCCCCAGTCAAGCCCTACTTCAGCTTCAAATGATGCTATTTGGCAAGCACTAATTTGGGCAACAGACAGACTCAAAGCACCTCTAATCATATTACATATGTCAAAAACAGAATGACTTTCAGTTTTACTAATATATTGAGACCTAATCAGAGACCCAAGAATAGGATTAAATCAGGTCTGCTATACAAATTAGCCTTACATTGCTGAATTTGATCTAAGCTTCAGTTTATGAGTTAGGAAGGCTGAGGTCAAGCTCTGCTCCTGAGACACAGGGCAACACAGGGCTGGACCAAAGACAGTATATTTACAAGATTAACAAAGTTGAGACAAAGATGCCTTAATAATTATTGGTTTAGGGAATAAATGTATCTGCTGCTACTTAAGTCTACATTTCCTTTAGTGGATTTCTTGTTTATTTTTAACATTTATTTCATGAGTGCATGCAAGAGCATACACACAAGAGCAAGGAGGTCACAGAACGACTTGCAGGAATTGGTTTACTCCTTCCACCATGTGAATTCTGAGCACTGAATCTGGGTGGTTACGCTGGGCACATCTTGCCAGAATGGTGAATTTCTTATAGTCTGATATTCAAGATTAGCAAACGGAAGCCATTTCCTGATTCACTGTAGCAGCTGGTGCTACAATCTTTCATGGAAAGTCAGTAGGCCAATGGTGTTATGTGGGGATATCTTGCTTGTACAAATAAAGCTTGTCTGAAGATCAGAGGATGGAGCTCGCCACTAGCTAACCATGGAGGTCAGGAGGTCTGCACAGACACACAGGAAGTGAGACGGCTGGGCAGAGAGCACATAAGTGGGAAGAAGCAGGAACTTGCTCTCTTTCCACTGGGAAGATAATGAGATAAAGGAGGTAAAGGTGGCTTTGGCTTGTTCCTTCTCTCTGATCTCTCAGCATTTTCCTCTACATCTGACTCCAAGTTTTTATTATTTATACCAATTAAGAACTCCATTTACAGTGTTACCCCCAGCTACATTAGACTCACTGGATGAAGGACAGGTGACAAAGTCTTGTTCCAGATCAATGACAATGTCTAGAGATAGGCTAAAGGTCACTGTCCTCTCAGTAGAAAGAGAACTATGATGTTCATGTCAATACCATCAATACCAGTGTCAGTCAGAGAATGAATGAGTTTATGGTTACCGAATCAATTTATGAAATGATGGTGTATTTTAGAAGTAAAAAGTTCATATTGTGCTCTTAGTGAGAAACTAAATATATACATTATGGTATGACTAGAAGCCCATGTCTACATTAAATTAATATGGGAGAGAAGAGAACTGTTACAGGAAGACTTCAGAAGGGCTAACTAATGTTTGAACTAAACTTATAAGAGATTACTAAAGGTAAAGTCTGGCAGCTTAAAAATAACATAGCAGAGCATAAATCCAAAGGATTAGGGTGAAAATAACCAAGGAGGGCTGAGATGGGACAGCTAATGCCCAACTGTGCTTTTCAGAGAAGCAGCAGTCTCATGCTTATTTTCTCTTTTTTCTTGTAGTCCTGGCTGTCCTGGAACTTGATCTCTAGACCAGGCAGGCCTCAAACTCAAGAAATCCATTTGCCTCTCCCTCCTGAGTGCTGGGATTACAGGCGTTCTTTTTTTCATACTTTATTATAAAAACTTGCATTACTTAGAAACATCTGGCAGAATTCAAGCCAACCACTAGATAAGTTTTCAGCCAATTTGTCCTATCAGATTTGAATAGCAAAATGCATGTCAGGGTTTAAGACAGAGTATATAAGTATGGAAGCACTTTCTCAATTAAAAATTTAAAAATATATGTATTTTATGTGAGTGGGTGCTCTGCCAATAAAGGCCAGAAGAGGGTGTTGGATACTCTGAAACTGTAGTTACAGATGGTTGTGTGCTGCCATGTGGGTGCTGGGACCTGAGCCCAGGTGCTCAGGGAGAGCAGCCATTACAGCTGTGCCTTCCAGCCCTTTCCCAGTTTAGAACAATAGATAATGTATACAGTTCAACATACACACAGATAATGGCAAGACATACATTTTAAATCTTGCACACAAGTTGAAAAGTAAGCAATTTTCATTTCATACAAGAAACTGTAATCTCAGTATCAGAGAGGGAGAGTTAAGAGGCTAGCTTGGTCTTCATAACAAGACCCTATTTTGAAACCAAACAAAATCAGGATGGGTGACAG